GACACTAGCAACATAACAAGAGAGGATAGTCAGCCGTGAACACTAGCAACATAACAAGAGAGGATAGTCAGCCGTGAACACTAGCAACATAACAAAGAGAGATACATTTCAACATAACATTAGTATCATAGTAGGCGAGAACAGATACATTTCAACATAACATTAGTATCATATTAGGCGAGAACAGATACATTTCAAAATAACCTTAGTATCATAGTAGGCGAGAACAGATACATATCAACATAACATTAGTATCATAGTAGGCGAAAACAGATACATTTCAACATAACCTTAGTATTATAGTAGGCGAGAACAGATACATTTCAACATAACATTAATATCATAGTAGGCGAGAATAGATACATTTCAACATAACATTAATATCATAGTAGGCGAGAATAGATACATTTCAACATAACCTTAGTATCATAGTAGGCGCGAACAGATACCTTTCAACCTAATACTCATATTATAGTAAGCGATTATGTCTGGATTTATTTTATTCGGCCTAAATATGGCGGCATGGAACCATCAAACAAGGCACTCATTCAAAAGTGAACGCAGAAGACAAACACGCGAAAATATATCCCGGCTAAGACAAACACGCGAAAGTATATCCCGGCTAAGACAAACACGCGATAGTATATCCCAGGCTAAGACAAACACGCGAAAGTATATCGCGGCTAAGACAAACACGCGAAAGTATATCCCGGCTAAGACAAACACTCGAAAGTATATCCCGGCTAAGACAAACACGCGAAAGTATATCCCGGCTAAGACAAACACGCGAAAGTGTATCCCGGCTAAGACAAACACACGAAAGTATATCCCGGCTAAGACAAACACGCGAAAGTATATCCCGGCTAAGAAAAACACACTTAAATTATGCCGTGAACAACTCACACTCTAGCAGGTAAGCAACTCACACTCTAGCAGGTAAGCAACTCACACTCTAGCAGGTAAGCAACTCACACTCTAGCAGGTAAGCAACTCACACTCTAGCAGGTAAGCAACTCACACTCTAGCAGGTAAGCAACTCACACTCTAGCAGGTAAACAACTCACACTCTAGCAGGTAAACAACTCACACTCTAGCAGGTAAACAACTCACACTATAGCAGGTAAACAACTCACACTCTAGCAGGTAAACAACTCACACTCTAGCAGGGGAACAACTCACACTCTAGCAGGTAAACAACTCACACTCTAGCAGGTAAACAACTCACACTCTAGCAGGTAAACAACTCACACTCTAGCAGGTAAACAACTCACACTCTAGCAGGTAAACAACTCACACTCTAGCAGGTAAACAACTCACACTCTAGCAGGTAAACAACTCACACTCTAGCAGGTGAAGAACTCACACTCTAGCAGGAGAACAACTCACACTCTATCAGGTGAACAACTCACACTCTATCAGGTGAACAACTCACACTCTATCAGGTGAACAACTCACACTCTATCAGATGAACAACTCACATACTATAATCCTGCCGTGGTCGCCCACTCCAGCCGTTAAATTCCTACACCAGAACCCAATAGAAAACAGCACGTACCCCATCTATGAGCTCCAACCCCAGAACCCAGTAGAAAGCAGCATGTACCCCATCTAGGAGCTCCAACACCCGATCCCGGTAGAAAGCAGCATGTACCCCATCTATGAGCTCCAACACCAGAACCCAGTAGAGAGCAGCATGTACCCCATCTATGAGCTCCAACACCAGAACCCAGTAGAGAGCAGCATGTACCCCATCTATGAGCTCCAACACCAGAACCCAGTAGAGAGCAGCATGTACCCCATCTATGAGCTCCAACCCCAGAACCCAGTAGAGAGCAGCATGTACCCCATCTATGAGCTCCAACCCCAGAACCCAGTAGAGAGCAGCATGTACCCCATCTATGAGCTCCTTCACCAGAACCCAGTAGAGAGCAGCATGTACCCCATCTATGAGCTCCTTCACCAGAACCCAGTAGAGAGCAGCATGTACCCCATCTATGAGCTACTTCACCAGAACCCAGTAGAGAGCAGCATGTACCCCATCTATGAGCTCCTTCACCAGAACCCAGTAGAGAGCAGCACGTACCCCATCTATGAGCTCCTTGACCATCCCATCCCACTCGCCCTCGGTGTTGCGAGAGCCGTAGTTTCCATCCGGTACCAGTTCGAATCTGTAGTTAAAGCCGACAATCGTGGCTAACTCCTTGGCCAGGTCGATGCAGAATCCCTCGTATTGCTCCTCAGATGTCGGCTTCTCTTTGTCCATCACAAACGGGGCTTCCTGGGGGAAAATAGAATACATTAGATAGTACAGTTCGTCGGAGGAGGGGAAGATGGGGGGGGGGGGGGAATAAGTACAGAGAAAGAGAGAGAGTACATTAGGTACTACAGGTCGTCGGAGGATGGGCGGGGGTGAGGAAAGCGGGCGTAAGCGCACACGCACTCACACACGCACGCACACACACACACACACACACACACCCCCACCCACCCACACACACACACACACACACACAGACACACACAGACACACACACAGACATACACACAGACACACACACAGACACACACACAGACACACACACAGACACACACACAGATACACACACAGACACACACAGACACACACACACAGATACACACACATACACACACAGACACACACAGATACACACACATACACACACAGACACAGACACACAGACACAGACACACACACACAGACACACACACACACGCACACGCACGCACGCATGCACACACGCACACACACATATTTACAATCACCCATACAGATACTCACATACATACATACATACACTCATGCATACATACATACTTGCCTACATTATATACACACACAACCACAATCACACATACACTCATATACAATCACATATACTTACAACATACACACATAAATACTTTCAGATACAAACGTAAATATACATTCATATATCCACATGCATGCACACACACACACACACCCACAATCACACACACACTCATATAATACATACATACATACACATATATAGATACTTTTATACATACATACACATCCATAATACATATCCACATACTTACATACATGCATACTTGCATTCATTCATAAATACACACACATCCACATACATACACAGCTACATACACCGACAAACATCCACATACATACACGAATACACATACACCCACATACTTACACACATACATACTTTCATACATACACACACACATACATACTTGCACAGCTACATACATACACAAACATGAATACATACACACATAGACACATACATACATACATAAATACATACACATACATGCCCACACACATTATATACATACACACATATACAATCACCCATACAGAGAGAGAGAGAGAGAGAGAGAGAGAGAGAGAGAGAGAGAGAGAGAGAGAGAGAGAGAGAGAACGAACGAACGAAACAACTTTATTTTCAAAGGGTAACAAATGATACCACCATTGACTGACTCCGATGTCACACATCAATGACTCACTGACACTCACACCACCCCTCCCTCACTGACTCCGATGTCACACATCATTGACTCACTGACACCACCCTTCACTGACTCCGATGTCACACATCAATGCCGTTCACAGAAAGGTCAATTTTGCGATCAAATTTTAGTTGGTTAGTCTTTAGTTAGTTAGTCTTTCCTCTTGTGTCGAGTGCGGCACATAGGGCAGAGGTCGTGACTCTCCATGCACGGCGGTTCGTTGCAATCTGTTGTAGGTCTTGGATGTTTGAGTGGCCCATAAGCGAGCCTTCCCTGATGATAGTTCTACGTAGGGTTTCCCTTGGTCTTCCACGAGATCTTTTCCCCTGTGGTGTCCAAATGAGGGCTTGGTAAGGAAGTCTTGATTTATCCATTCTAAGGACGTGGCCGACATAGTAAATTTTAGCGCTATTGATTTTAATAAACTGGCTTGGGGGTGGGGGGTGGGGGTGTGGAAAGAGATGGGGTGGTGATGTTTTGTATATCTGACAGATGTCATCGATTGTATGTGTGAGCTTATGTTGTCATCGATTGTATGTGTGAGCTTATGTTGTCATTGATTGTATGTGTGAGCTTATGTTGTCATTGATTGTATGTGTGAGCTTATGTTGTCATTGATTGTATGTGTGAGCTTATGTTGTCATTGGATAGATGATTGAAATAAACGAGACAATAAAGGGCTAACCTAATGAGTGAGACTGATAACTCGATCACTTGTCCTGCTTTTATTGGCAGGTAGAGCTTGAATGATGATGGATAACATCGATTGTGATGATGATGACGATGATGGATAACATCGATTGTGATGATGAGGATGATGATGGATAACATCAGTTGTGGTGATGTGTGTGATGACCTCCAATGAAGCAAAAGAAGATGATCTAGTCATCATGACCATGCTTGGATCGCAAGAAACGTCTGGACTGAGCATAATCTGGACATCTCAATGTGAAACTGAACCTGAAGCAAAGTGCCACTGACAATGTTTGTTGCTGGTGGGTCATGTTGACTGTCACTTGTTGCCACTGACACTGTGTTGCCACTGGTTCATGTTGACTGTCACTTGTTGCCACTGATACTGTGTTGCTAGTGGTTCATGTTGACCGTCACTTGTTGCTAGTGGTTCATGTTGACCGTCACTTGTTGCCACTGATACTGTGTTGCTGGTGGTTCATGTTGACCGTCACTTGTTGCCACTGACACTGTGTTGCTAGTGGTTCATGTTGACCGTCACTTGTTGCTGGTGGTTCATGTTGACTGTCACTTGTTGCCACTGACACTGTGTTGCTGGTGGTTCATGTTGACCGTCACTTGTTGCCACTGACACTGTGTTGCTGGTGGTTCATGTTGACCGTCACTTGTTGCTAGTGGTTCATGTTGACCGTCACTTGTTGCTGGTGGTTCAGGTTGACCGTCACTTGTTGCCACTGACACTGTGTTGCTAGTGGTTCATGTTGACCGTCACTTGTTGCCACTGATACTGTGTTGCTAGTGGTTCATGTTGACCGTCACTTGTTGCTAGTGGTTCATGTTGACCGTCACTTGTTGCCACTGACACTGTGTTGCTAGTGGTTCATGTTGACCGTCACTTGTTGCTGGTGGTTCATGTTGACTGTCACTTGTTGCCACTGACACTGTGTTGCTGGTGGTTCATGTTGACCGTCACTTGTTGCTGGTGGTTCATGTTGACCGTCACTTGTTGCTAGTGGTTCATGTTGACCGTCACTTGTTGCCACTGACACTGTGTTGCTAGTGGTTCATGTTGACCGTCACTTGTTGCTGGTGGTTCATGTTGACTGTCACTTGTTGCCACTGACACTGTGTTGCTGGTGGTTCATGTTGACCGTCACTTGTTGCTGGTGGTTCATGTTGACCGTCACTTGTTGCCACTGATACTGTGTTGCTAGTGGTTCATGTTGACCGTCACTTGTTGCCACTGACACTTTGTTGCTGGTGGTTCATGTTGACCGTCACTTGTTGCCACTGACACTTTGTTGCTGGTGGTTCATGTTTGCCGTCACTTGTTGACCATCTGTTCTTGATCTTTGTGGGCGTGCAACCTTTCTGCTGATTTCATAGTGACCAGCAGTGTCGTGGTGGCGAGTGGTTTTTTAATGTGCTTCTAAACAATTGTCCACTGTCATTAGCCTCATCGTTTAATCATTTTGCGGCTGAAAGACGTCCAGTGTGTGTGTTATTACAGTTAACATGCTGGAATCCTCTGCTGTAATCCTCTGCTGGAATCCTCTGCTGGAATCCTCTGCTGGGAAGCACGGCTCACAACAGCCTGCCCTTGCTGGGAAGCACGGCTCACAACAGCCTGCCCTTGCTGGGAAGCACGGCTCACAACAGCCTGCCCTTGCTGGGAAGCACGGCTCACAACAGCCTGCCCTTGCTGGGAAGTGCGGCTCACAACAGCCTGTCCCTGCTGGGAAGCACGGCTCACAACAGCCTGCCCCTGCTGGGAAGCACGGCTCACAAACTGGGAAGCACGGCTCTCAGCCTGCCCTTGCTGGGAAGCACGGCTCACAACAGCCTGCCCCTGCTGGGAAGCACGGCTCACAACAGCCTGCCCTTGCTGGGAAGTGCGGCTCACAACTGCTGTTGGGAAGCACGCTCACACAGAACCACGCAGAAAGACATAAACGTCCTCCATCTTGCTTTCACAAAGACGACAAGACGCCATCTGCCTTTCATCCATGTGTAATTGAAATGGGGAGAAATCGAGAAAACGGACTAAGGATATTCCCCAGTGGGAAAACACCACATAAGCCGTGTGAGTTTGGGAGCTTGACAATTTGATCAGACGCTTCAAAGAAAACAATGTAGTGCCACCAAACCTGCAGTCCATATAGGCCAGATTCCGTTCATCTTTTGCCTGACTGAGTGAATGAATGAACTGATTCCTCCTGCCACTAGCATAATCCTTAGTGAGAGCTTGTGCAGACGTTGACAGCAAGATCCAATCTCAGACTAAGGGCAGGCACACCTACACACACAGCACTTGCATTCATTCTTTTTCTCTTGTGTAATCCCCTTTCTCTGACTGGAAACTCCTGCCATGTTCCTATCAATGTAAAAGGCATTTCGTTCGTTGGTTCAGAGTAGTTTGCCTTGCGTTCTGAGAGTCGTGAGTTCGTGTCTGACTTGCTACATTTGGTTCATAACTGTAGTTGTTACAGAAAGCATGGGCATCGTCGCTGGAGATATAGAGTCTATAAAGTCGTCGAAAGAGAGAGTTAGAGAGAGAGAGAGAGAGAGAGAGAGAGAGAGAGAGAGAGACACACACACAGAGGAAGAGAGAGAGAGAGAGAGAGAAAAAGCCCCACGGAACAAAAGTGGGTGCAATGAAGTCAATCGTCTTGACTGAAAGTGTTTAAAAAAATTATGACATTGTTTATGTTTGTTAAAATGTGTCCCTATATGGCCGTCGTGAAAGCATCGTGTCCGAACACCGGAACAGGTGTTGTGTTACGGGAGGCGTAAACAGGTGTTGTGTCATGGAATGTGTAAACAGGTGTTGTGTCATGGCAGGCTTAAACAGGTGCTGTGTCATGGAAGGCGTAAACAGGTGTTGTGTCATGGCAGGCGTAAACAGATGTTGTGTCATGGAAGGCGTAAACAGGTGTTGTGTCATGGAAGGCGTAAACAGGTGTTGTGTCATGGCAGGTGAAAACAGGTGTTGTGTCATGGAAGGCGAAAACAGGTGTTGTGTCATGGAAGGCGAAAACAGGTGTTGTGTCATGGCAGGCGTAAACA